TGGGCAATTTGAAACATTGCCTTATCACAGTCAGAGGCGGCCATAGCTTTTGCAGCCTTTACCTCTTTGTTCTTCCGGTCAAGCGGCTTGCGAAGGTCGTTCACTCGGAGCAGGGCCTAAGTAAAAAGGGGAACAGGCGTCAGTTTCCAAACAAAAAAGAAAACAGGCGTCCTGGAATTCAAATACTCAAAAATATGCTAAGTATACCTCAGCAAGGACCCCTGCAATCTCGTCTAGGTCAAGGGTGCCGACACCCCTGACCGCCTCCCTTTCAGCTGGAGGAACGGCCTTGATCATAGACTTGGCCACCTCGACCAAGTCAGGCTCCTGAGGGCCGGCTGCATCAGGCATAAACAAACGGATTAGACCTAGTAAAGAAGGGAGCAAGTCTAAAATTTACAAGGATAATTTCATACTTCTAGGTGGCCCAGCTGGAGTTTTAGAAGAAGTGGTCGGCTGCTTCTCAGCCGCCACATGTTTCCTGGCAGAACCAGGAGAGCTCGCAACAGTCGTCCTCCGGGCCTTGGGGTCCGGCTGTTGGGAAGAAGAAGCTCTTGGAGCGCCCGTCTAAAAAAGAAGAAAAGAGTCAGTATATGCATAAACACAACTCCAAAAAGAGGGTGAAAGGTGCGAAGCCCACCAAGGGTGCCCCCTTGTTGGGGGAGTCGGATGAAGACTGTTGCATGATGGAGGCCCGCAACAAGGCCGCCGCAGTCTTGGAGGCGGTAATTTTGCTCATGGCGTCCGCTGCAAAAACAAATAACAAAGTTAATAAAAGTCATAACAAGAAATGCATGGAACAACAGAGTATTCGACAGGCCGGCTACCTCTTGAGCACCGACTGCTGAGGCCACAGGCGGCCAAAAAGTACTCGTCGTAGAGCCATTTGAAGCTCAAGACGCAGTGCAGGGGTACTTGCTCTCGTACCCCTGGAGTAGAGTTCACCTTCGACTCTACTTTGAAGAGTCCTTTATCTAGGATATCTTTCTTAGCCTTGGGGGAACAGGCGGCATGCTGCGGCCGCCTGCAAGAAGGGGCGGATTCCTGTTCCACCTGTTGAAGCGCTTGTTCAGCTCTGTGTCTGAACTCTCAATGATAAGGAAGGTGCTCCGCCAGTCCTTCCATTTGTTTGTTTTACCTCTCGTCATGAGGTAGCCCCTGTGGCTCGTCAATTGATACCATCCGGTACCGCCTGCCTTAGGGGTCCGGCTGAGGTAGTTCATGTGGGCGAAAGCCTCGAAGTTCGGCTCCACCCCGTGCAGTTCGCACCCGGCCACATAGCCGAGTACGTTGACCCAGGAGTTCGGGGCTAACAGCCATAACCCCAACTCATACCCATCCAAGATCCGCTGAACAGCCGGATGTAGTGGGAAGCGCAGCCCAGCCTTGATGGCCGCCTCGTAGCAGCCAAAGCAGGCGCCATCATAACTGGTACTAGCCGGCCAGACGACTGTGTCTTCCGGATCCGGCACGAACACTAAAAAGTCGGGGCCCATTGTGTGGTTTGCGATAAAGCTCTCCACTTTCTCTTGCATGGCTGTGATCCGGCCTCGAGGTTCCGTGCAGTAGTAGGGGGTATTTTGCTCTCGGTGAGAGGCGGATGGCTCCGCCCAATCGTCCCCCTTCTCAACTGCGTGAGAAAGCCTCGCCTCTTGTAGGCGACTGTTTTTCTCTTCAGTGTCCAGAGAAGCATGGCCAGAAGAGCTAGACTCGGAATCGTCCTTTGACGAGTCCGAAGAGGACGACTCATCCCCTCTCCCGGAGGGGCCCGCCTCCTCTCCTTTAAAAGGAGCAGGAGAGAATGTAGAATTGTCAACTGTAAAATGGGAAGGGGTCACTTTGACTCCTCCCTCAGAACTGCCGGCTTTCAAGCCGCTTTGTTTCACTTCCACATCTGGCGCCTGGTCAGATGTTTCACTAATCGGCACCCTGTGGGAGGAGCCGTCTGAGTTTGAGATCCTGGCAGTCTTTTTTGTTCTGGCCATCATGCTCTGCATAGACACAGATATAGTCGGACTTTGTATAAAGGGAAAAGATGGGTCCAGAAAAGGGCAGGCGGCACTCCTAGTCCTAGATTCAGCCGTCCCCGGTGACCGGCTGATCACTAACCTAGGTCGTGTCGTGTGCTTCCGTGGTGCCATTTCATAAAAAGAATAAAGTAAAGAGAAAATTAAGAGTAAGAGAACCGACGGTTACCTGAACGAGTGACGATTGATGAAGTTTTGAAAATCCTTTGCAGTCGGCTTGTCAGAGCAGGCGGTAGGCAGAAAGGGTCCAAAATGTCAGAGCAAGTTCAGGGGTCCGAATGTTCTCTCACAAAGTTTTCAAGTGTGAAATTGACCGAAGTCAACACTCCTTTATATAGGCGAAGTGAGAAGGCGAATGGTCACTTCCAGAATTTAAAATTTTGGCGGGAGAATCTCTCGGCCTCTCGCCGAGTGACACCTGTAGCAGGTCGTCGCCTGTTACAGGGTGATACCTGTCACAGGTAACACGTGACCAGTCACCAATCACCATCTGACAAGTGGACCAATCAGGTTCCGCCATGTGTCCGTCACATGGGCCAATAGGAGCCTGCCACGTGTCAAGCAATGATCCGTCCACTATGGACCAATTACGACACAACACGTGTCCTTCCCATGACACCTGGGATAACCGGTCACCTAGGCCCAACTTCCGTGGGAAGCCCAATCAGCCCAAGGTTAACCTAAACCTAGATTGGCACGTTTCCCGAGGTTATAAATACCTCCCTTAATCCTCATTAAGGGAGATTACGCAGATTACACACATTAAACTCTCTCACCTAGAGAGACCCAATCACTTTCATTTCCGCATTAATTACTCCTTAATCAAGTACTAACTTGACCGTCGGAGGCGGATCTCCAATCATCCGGAGCATCCGTTTGTTTTGCAGGTACAGGCGCCCGGTTCCAGTCTCGGAATTGTAACTCTCCCGCAGGACATCAGAAAACCCCGAAACACTTGGAATATGAAGAATTGAAGGAAGGAGACTTGAAGATTTGGATACTCCTTGCAATATCAATGAGAATTTCTTACTCTCTCTCTCCTATTTTGTTATTCTATTTACTTATTTTTGTACCTTTTCATCCTTAATTACTTATTTATGTTAGATTAGTGTTTGGTTTTATGTTCTTAGTTGCTAATTCCTTTAGTTTTGCAATTTATTATGATTTGTGAGTAGTTCTTTTACTTGGGATGGTTGAAACCATTGATGAATTCACAAATACTTGTTTGTATGTGTTGATTTAGCTAATGTGGGATGTTAATTAGTTGAGATTAAGTGGTTTCATTGTTAGTTCTTGTAAGTGGCCATTGCTAGAACTATTTATCTAAGCTTTCTCAACGAAGGATCGAGAGATGAACTTGAGTTAGCTCCCTTATGCTTAATTGACTTAAAATGCCATGAGAATAGGAATTTCTAGTCAAGGGAATGTTTATGTCATCGTGAATATGCTTTACCACTTGTTTTATGCTTTGTAACCACGAGAGTAGGTTATATTCATGACTCAAGTAATCCCTCTAGCTTGAGAGAGTAGTTGGGTGCTTTAGATGACTTCCCTTAATTTATCCCCAAATTGCTATGTCTTGTATATTGAATTGTAGTTTGTGAATGACTTAATTGGAGGATGCCTTCCCAAGATCCTTGTTATTATTGTTTGTAGTTTTTCTTCATAACTCATAACCCAAAAAGACTTGACTTAGCTTATCACAAATCGATATTTGTTAGTGCTCCCCTTAGTCCTTGTGGGATCGACCCTTACTTGCCCTTTCTACCCATTAGAGAGACCAAGTTAGGTTTTTATCTTTGGTAGGCTTGACGACAGCCTATCATCTACCACTTGAGCTAATAGGTTTTAGTACACCTAGTAACAATCTAAAGCAGAGTTATAAGATCATACACCACACACCAAAGGTACAAACATTAAAATGTCCTAATTGTTGGCATTAGTATACTTTAAGAGAGGATTAGTTTAATTTTGGAGAGATTTAGTTTAATTTTATGAGATGTATACTTAGTTAGGGGTGGCAAAAACTGACCCGACCCGAAAACCCGACCCGAGCCCGACCCGAAAATAGCGGGTTAGGGTTGAGAATTTCGACACGAAAACTTAAATGGGTTGACACGAACCCGACCCGAAACTAAATGGGTTAGGTTAAGGTTGAAAATTTCAACCTGAAAATGACCCACATAACCCGAAAATAATTTTCGGGTCAAAATCAGGTCGGGTCAACCCGAACCTGACCTTATAACCCGAATAAAAAAGTCTTAAAAAAAATCATTTTAATGGCTAATGGCCCAAGCCCAATTTAAAGTTCTAAACCTAAAAAAACCCTAAATGTGACTAACCCCCACCAGCCGTTTTTGTCTCCTATTTTCTCATTTTGCCCTCTCTCTCTCTCTCTCTCTCTCTCTCTCTCTCTCTCTCTCTCTCTCTCTCTCTCTAAACTTCTCTGGTTCTCATTTTCTCAACAATCTCAAGTTCTCAGACACTCCACACTCACTCTTTCCTTCTAGTTCTTTCTCAATCTTTCGTTCTCAAGTTCTCAACTTTTCCATCTTCTCACTCGTTCTCACTCCTCAAGGTAATGGTTATTAATTGTTTTTTATTTCGTTTCGTTTTTGTTTTGAATTTCAAGTTCTGATTCTGAATTTTCCATTCTTGTTTTTTTTTTTTCAAATCTTCAAATCTTCATCTCCTTCAAGCCGTCAAACCTCAAACTCTCAAAGGTAATTCTATTTTAAATTTTGTTGTTTTTGTTTCGATTTTTGTTGTTTTCGTTTCTGTTTTGTTGTTTTTGTTTCGATTTTGTTCTTGATTTTTGATGTTTTTTTTTTCGTTTCAATTTTTTTGTTTTCGTTTCGAGTTTGGTTGTTTTCGTTTTGGTTTTGTTGTTTTCGTTAGTTTTGTTCTTGATTTTTGTTGTTTTTGTTTCCGTTCCATTTTTGGTTGTTTTCGTTTCGAGTTTGGTTGTTTTCATTTCATTTTGGTTGTTTTCGTTTGGTTTGTTCTTGATTTTTGTTGTTTTTGTTTCTGTTTCAATATAGATTTGTATTTGATTATTGTTGTTGTTCTTGCATGATAATAGTATTAAGTTTATATAACGTATGATGGGTTGCTTTGTAAATTTCTAGCACAATAATCCAATTCCTGATCTAATTTACAGGAAGAATATATCTTTGACATGCATGTGATTTTTTTTTTTTAATTTTAGGTCTGATTTAGATTATATCTCTAGCTTGTTGTTGTTGACTTGTTGTTTATTTTATATTGTTCTTCTTGTCCAAATAATTTCTGATTTTTTGCGGTAATTATGGATGTTGATGTTTAGATTATATCTCTAGAAAGAATAGATCAGTTTTTGTCTCTTGTTTTAAAATAAATGTTTTATTTTGTTATAATTTTTGCAGTAATTATGGATGCCGATGTTCAGCAACTTTCTTCCGAGGAAGAGGAGATTGACTCGACAACACAAGACAAAGGAAATGGTAAAAACCAGAAAACTTCTTCTGGTAAACCTCGTGTGATTCTTACTGGTAAGAAACGTCAACGTCGGTTTTCTTCTGGTGTTTGGGTGAATTTTGATTTTTTAGACGAGCCTGATGAAAATGGTAATCTAATTTGCAAATGTAAAAAGTGTGGTATACATTTTAATGCTGATAGTAAGAATGGAACTGGGAATCTTCATCGTCATTTGAAAAATTGCAAACAAAGGTCTTTTAGGGATGTTGGTCAAATGATATTAGAGAAAACATCCTCTAGTTTAGGAAATAGATTGCGTGAATTTGATGCTAATTATTTCCGTGAATTATTATCTCTTGCTATTGTGGAGCATGATATGTCATTTCAGTTTGTAGAGTTCAAGGGTTTTAGGAGATGTTTTAATTATTTGCATCCTGATTTCAAACCTGTCACTCGAAATACTATCAAATCTGATGTACTTAAGATGTATAAAAGAGGGAAAGAAAAATTAAAAGTTGTTTTGGGCTCAACTTGTAGTAGAATTGCATTAACTTCTGATTGTTGGACTTCTATAACCACTGATGGTTATATTTCATTGACAGCTCATTATGTTGACAAGTCTTAGTGTTTGGAAAAAAAGATTTTGAACTTCTTACATTGGTCCTCCCCATACAGAAATTCATTTATGTGATCATGTGTATGGTTTGTTAAAAGAATGGGGTATTCAAAAAAATATTTTTTCAATTACATTAGATAATGCTTCTTCAAATGATGTTTTTGCTGAAAATCTAAAAGGGGAACTTGAGTTGATTTGTGGTGGGGAATTTTTTCATGTAAGGTGTTGTGCTCACATTCTTAATTTAATGGTTCAAGATGGTTTAAAAGGAATTGATGAGGCTGTGTATAAGACTAGAGAGAGTGCCAAATATTGTAAGAGTTCACAAGCTAGGAAACAAAGGTTTTTAAGTTATGTATCACATGTTGAAATTCAATCTACTAGAATTTTACAACAAGATATTCCTACTAGATGGAATTCAACTTACATGATGCTTGATTGTGCTTTGTATTTTAAAAAAGCTTTAATTCACTTTCAAAAAGTTGATGCCAATTATGTACATTGTCCTTCTGTTGAAGAATGGGGTAGAGTTGAAAAAATATGCAAGTATTTGAAAGTTTTTCATGATGTCACACTTGCCTTTTCTGGGACCAAATATCCAACTTCCAATCTCTACTTTCATAGAGTCTTACAAGTTAGGTTGTTGTTACAAAATGAAATGAAAAGTTCAGATCTTTTTATGCAAAAAATGGCTTGTAAAATGTATGAGAAATTTGGAAAGTATTGGTCAGAATTTAGTACATTTATGGCTGTTGCTGTGGTGTTGGATCCACGATATAAGTTGCAATGTGTCAATTGGGGTTACATGAGGATATATGGTCAGCATAGTGTTGAATACGAGCTTGAGTTTTCTAAGGTTAAGGATGCTTTACGGAGGTTGTACGAGGATTATGCATCCAGTCATTCTTCATCAAGCAATGTTATTCCCACTGCTAATGCTTCCAATGCTAATGAAGCTTCCGATGATTTTATGATGGTAAACAACTTTCTGAGTTTCTGTCTTTCTGATGCATTTACCTTTATTGCAAGTGAAAACATATCCTGATTTAATAATCTGATTTTTTATAATCTGATTTTATTATAATTTGATTTTATTATATCTGATTTATTATATTATAATCTGTGATTTATTGTATTATAATCTGATTTTTATTTTCTGATTTTTTGTGTCATGGCGTCATGCTACTCATATAATTTGATTTATTGTATTATAATTTGATTTATTGTATTATAATCTGATTTTCTTATAATCTGATTTATTATATTATAATCTGATTTTATTGTATGATAATCTGATTTTTATTTTTTGATTTTTTGTGACATGCTACTCATGTAATCTAATCTTGGTATATAGGATTTTGATAGTTTTTCTATGGAGCAATCAAATGTGGCAATCAAATCTGAAGTTGATATGTATTATGAGGAGCCACTTATCCCCCGAGGCACCAACCTTGATATTTTGTCTTATTGGAGAACTTGCTCGGTCTGGTATTCTATATTAGCTAAAATTGCTAGGGATGTTCTTGTTGTCCCCGTATCAACTGTGGCCTCCGAATCAGCTTTTAGTACTGGAAGTCGAGTGCTTGATTGTTATAGAAGTGCTTTAAAATCAGAAACAGTGGAGGCTATAATTTGCTTAAGGGATTGGGATTTTGGGGAAGGTAAAAAATGAGTTAGAACTATTATATTACTTGTAAATTATCTTTTATTTTTAGTACATGTGTTGATTTTAATTTGCTATCTTTTCTTGTAGATAATATGGATCCTCAAATGACAATGCTATGAGGATCCGTTATGAAGCTTAAGGTGGGGGACAACGATGACGCACCACAAACCTCGCCGGAACTATCAGAATTTGATGAAAATGCTTCTTCGAATATTGTTTGAGTCACAAGGACTAAAGTTTATTAAAAGACATTTTTTTCTTTTTAATTATGGTTTGTAATTTGTTAAGACTATTTTGGTGTGTTAGTGACTTAGTGTGTAATAGTTAATTAGGCATTTTAGACTATTGAAAACATTGGGTAAAAAATTCAGGTTTTGTTAACTGTTTGAAAACACAAAATTTGGCTAAAAATCAGTTTATTCAGCTAAAAAAAAAACAATTAACAAAAGTCAGGTCAAATCAGGTTGTTTTCGGGTTGACCTGAACCCGAAAATATCAGGTTCGGGTTGGGATTTTCAACCCGAAAACTTAAATGGATCAGGTTCAGGTTGGGGGTTCCCTAACCCGAAACACGAAAACCCGAACACGAACCCGACCTGATATGTTTGCCACCCCTATACTTAATTGAATCAAAATTTCTAAATTATTATAGCCATAGCTTTAGCTACATTTGTCTCCCATCATTCAATGCCCCGCACCAGTGAACAGCCCTGAACCGAGCCATTATAGTCACACAACACTGTCCCCAGACCAGTCCCTAACTCCCTTACAGCTCCAGCATTAACATTCAGCTTTTCCCCACCCCTCATCAGGTGGTGACCAGGCCATAGGAAGGGGCATACCAGCACCCCCCTTTTAATTGGATTCATTGAGGCATTTTATCAAACACTTAGTGTGCATTAAGAAATCAACAACAGTAATTGAATAATCAAAATTAATTCAATGTAAAGTAAAAAAATAGACAAATTCAGGCTGAAAAACAAGAAATATTAAAATTCAATTGAAATATGATTTAAAATTGAAGAAAAACAAGAAATATTAAAACGTCTTACCTCAGAAGCTGCTTCAGTGGAGTATCAAAAGCTCGAAATTCCCTTTAATGGAGAATACAGATCAGTAGCTTCAATGCAGCAAAGAAAATTGTACACGAAATTACAAATGAATGCTCCAAATTGATAGGATATATGATCCGATAAACGTTAAAAAAAAAAAAAAAAAAAAAAAAAAAAAAAAAAAAAAAAACCCTAAAATTCGAATTATACCATAGATAGTGAAATTGAAATTCGTGATTCAAAAAAGAGGAAAACAAACATCTTACCTCAAAAGCTGCTTCAATGGAGTACAGAAAGCTCTAAATCTACTGCAATGGAGTAGAGAAAGCTCGAAATTCGCTTCAATGGAGGTATCTAGAAAGTTCGTTGTACTTGAGGAGAGAGAAATGACAAAAAGTGCTGAATTAATCTGGGCCGCTCATCAAGCGCGCATCTAAGTTAGATCCAACGGCCCTAATTAGTTCCTAGTTCCTATTATATAAGAGGTTCTTATTATATTATAACTCGATCCTATATATATATATTAGATTGGTATTTGTTTATAATTTTATTATTCGATTGTTTTTACTAGTTTTGTGTGTTGTATATAAACAATTATAGTTAAAACGATGTTCACTTCTATAATAGTAAATGTCCGTTTATGTTTTATATTTGTGTTTTGTAGTATATTATATGTTTATTATAGTTGTATTTGAATATATATGTCGTACATGTGAATTTTAATGATTATCATGGTTTTGTAGTTTCTCATATACATTTTAGCTAGTGAACATATCTTATTATTTTTTATTCTTTTGTTCATTATAATGTTTAGTTATGTAAAGATAAATTTTCCTTTATATAAACTCTATGGTAACTTTACTCTATGGATCAAATGCGTTATTATAATTGAACATTGTTGTTATTTGATATATATATGTTCATTTATTACATGTTTATTATTGCAGTGACAAAAAAAGGATGTTATTATTTTTTGATGAAGCAAGTAAGTCTGATTTAGTGGGGAAACAATTTAAATATGAAGAATAAACTTATGAAATGAATATTGAACACGCATTTAAGAAAGGTTTTGGAATTAGAGTAGGGAAGAGTAAGAGGCGAAAAGATAATTCAATATGTATGAAAAGATTTGTTTGTTCTAAGAAGAAGCAAGTTCTTCTTAGTGTTGCTACAAATGCTCCTAGTGTTCAAAAGAATGCTCAAGTTCCTCCTAGAGTTCCTAGAAATGTTCATATTCCAATTATTGTAGGTGTTCAAGCCAATGATCAAGCTGCTCCAACTGTTCAAAAGAGGGCTCAAATTCCTCCAGAAATGTAAAAAATTCCTATAAAATGCTAAAGTGGCTCCTAGTATTTAAAAGAATACCTTTAACCTTTAGCTGTTTAGTACTATATATTTTTTTATTTTCTGTAAGTGAATATTTAAGTTTCTAAAACTGATCATTTAGTTTTTGAGAGTGATCATTATGTTTTTGTAAAGAATCATTAAGTTTTACTAATCTTCTTTAAGTGAATATTTAAGTTTCTAAAAGTGGTCATTTATTTTTGTAAATGATTAAATTGATAAAATGATAAACATAATACTTTACATAAATCTCGTAATTTCATATAAAATTTTAAGAGTAATTATGTAAACAAATGATATCTATCAAACTTTAAACGTAAAAAGTTTAAAATTAAACAATGTGTACAGTGATTCTGTTAAAAAATAATATCTATAAGTTTTAATTTATCAACCAACTATGAACATATGTCTATCCATAAGTGAACATATTATATTATATGCCTTTGAAAATCTTCTTACCGCTCTTCTATTATTCTTAGACTCGTCATTTTCTTCAGTTAGCATTAGTTGAGTAGTGTATTGCATCATCTGCCTTCTGGTTTGGTCTACTAGTTAATAAAAATGAATTATTATTAAATTGAACATTAAGTGTTATATAAATGAACATTATGTGCTACATAATTGAACATTAAGTAATATTACTTGTTTATTGAATTTTACTTACATTTCCAGTCACAAACTCAAAAATCAGCTTATTGTTCTCTATTTGCCCAACTTGTACTTGATCTTTACATTTCCAGTCACAAACTCAAAAATCAGCTTATTGTTCTCTTTACTTTTTGGTCTACTAGTAGCACGTCAGTAATCCTCTCCTAATTGTACTTGATCTTTACTTGTGAATACTTCAATTAATTCTTTTTTAAAAATCATTTACCAAAATAACAATGATGTAACACCCCAATAATTCTCTATTTTTATTTGTAAATACCTTTAATAAAATACCAGAGAATTACTGACGTGCTACCGCCACATGTTCAAATGTTAAGACAAATTCAGAATTTAGCAGCGGAAAAACTAACTCGGTTATAGTAAAGTTTCAAAACCAACGAACAAAACCAAATTAAGTCTTACAAGTTGGAACCATCAAGGCCTTTATTCAAAACCAATTAATAAAGTAGAAAATAAATCAAATTAGAATTTAAAAAAAATTATGAAAAGAAATAAACTGCGAACAATAACCAACTCTCCACTCAAAATCCCACCACCTTGATGCAAGTCCAAACTATGTAAACACCTGTGATAAGTCTGCTCCCTAATATTACAAGTGTAAAGGTTGGATCATTATAGGGTTATTGAAAGACGAAGGCCATGACCAAGAAAAAGACACACAAAAGCACACAATCAGCAACGCTGGCAACGCCGACTACATACAAGCTACGAAGTATAACAATAGAACTCCTAGCATGCTACTAATTATCAATCAACACACAAACAATTTAATTATTGACTCAAACACATGATTCAACTATTAACATTACTAAGACTTCTCTAATTAATATTGACTATTTCATTTCATTTTATTCATTGGATTAAGTAATAGACAAGGTTGTCTCCCCATGCTCCAATTTAGAACATCAATAAAAGAAAAATCCCATGCCTCCTTACGGAAACATCAATAAACATCCAATGGCAGACAGGCGCGACTCCATGGCCATAGCTAGTATGAGATCTCATCTAACTCCTTATACTTTAAAAAAAAATGAAAACAAAAGACTCGTAGATCAGACGGCCTCTAGAAAATTACACGACTAATACCCTGTGTACCCCAACCCCTGTTTGTCATTACTCTAGATATGCACAAATCCAGAGTTTTATTGCTCATCCATCTTGCACTTTACGTGAGTTACAGTAAAACTTGGTGGTGACTCATTTACAAAGCAATACAATCAACCAAACATCAATCATTCATACAAATTCATATTTCCAATTTCATTCTTGAATTATTAGTGACAAACAATATTAATGTTAAATCCTTTTTAAACTACCTCGATGTGTGAACACCTTAAGTGCATAAGGCACCTCAAATCCTCTACCTCGTCATTTAAGACTTTATTTCTCCTTTTACTCATTCCATTACAATTATCATGAACAAGAAATAAAATCTCCATATTGTGAAATCCACATATTCACTTACCTTTGCCTCCAACCCCATCTTATAAGTTAGTACATAATACTTACAAGATAAATCAACATACTTACAAACTTCCATAAGATTACATGTCACACATGAATCAAAACTAATCATCACATTAATCATCAATGAAACTTGCTACTGTAGGGAATTTTTCAAACTCAACTTTGAGCCCCACTGTGATCAAACTTTTAGGCATGGTGGCGTCCAAAGGGAAGGAAGCTAGAGATAAAAGAGTCGCCAACAAGTTTTAGGAACTTGTAAACCGTTCACGGGTGTGAAGGTTACACCCCATTCACAATCACAGAGATCGCTAACTTCATAGTGGTCCGGAACCATGACTGGATATTTGGGGATGATGGTACGAATCCAATCTAAAAGAGATTGAACCCGCCTTAAATCAGCCTCTACTTAATTACTATGATATTCATGTTTGCTTTTCGTTCAACATACATCCATCAAGTTAGCCCTAAACCTGCTTAATCTATGTTGGTTGATTATTAATGCACAAATAAATCTAATATTGGCGATCACTTGAATTAAAACCATATTAACCCTAAATCAAATTATTAATTATTTTATTAGGCGTGATTTCAAGTACAAATTCTATTTAAACTTGCAAAAAAGGGCGTGATCAAGCAATAACAATAAATCATGAATAATCAAGCAACGTATGATTGACACAACAATCATCATCATAATCAAAACATCATCAAAACATTAATAGTAAGATCCTAGGCATGATACTAAACAGAATTAATAACAAACCCTAGCATGTCACTAACAATCATAATCAAAGCTTTAGCCTAAACATGATACTAGAAATCAACATGACATTAGAAATATTAATTAACACCCTAAACATGATACTATGAATCAAAATCAACATCATAAGATGATACTAGGAATTAATATAATATCATAACATGATTTCTATATTAAAAGAATAATTAAGTAATCGAATTACTTACTTTGATGCCTCGTATATCTTTCTATCAAAACAATACAGGCTTTTTTAACTTCAAGAAAGATTAAATCAAATAAATAAATCAAATATAAATTGAAATATAGATTTGGGACCAAACCCTCAGAACTATCAACCTTTCATGTCGAGGTTGAAGGCAACTTCGAGGAGGGTTAAGAGTATTCAAGTCTCCTGAAGAAGGTATGGTGTTTGTTTAGGGAAACATCAAGGATGTGTGTTGGGATGTGTTTAAGCTAGGCTAAGAACATGAAAGAAGAGACAGAGAGAGAAAGGCTATTAGAGAGGGTATTGATGATGATTGTTGGTTATCAAACTTGTTGATGATAGAAAAAGGGGTGAAACGACCTCTATTTATAGGGAAAAAAGAGGGTCGAAGGATCAGAAAAGAGTCAGAATTCGAATCGGAATAAAATAGGTTCCATTGCGGCGCGACAGGTCCATCGCGGCTCGATAGATAGCAGTTTTTGTGGTTTTTGTTTTTATCATAACTTTTGATCCAGAAATCAGAATATGATAAATAATATATCGTTGGAAAGATCTGTAAGTCTACTTTCCAACCCAATTAAAACCAAATTGATATCTTTTGTAAAATTTAATATATGATCGAAATAGTGGAACTGTGTTAGTTTTGGATAGTGTTTGGTATTTTAATCATATCTTTTTTGTTGTAGCTCGGAATTGGGATTATGATATATCATTGGAAATATAATTTCAAGGGCTATTCAACCATCCAAGATTTGGATAAAAATTATGAGGCACGAAAATCATATCTAAACGTCTATAAATTCGAATAGAACAAGTATTTTCAAAAAGAGAAGTTTTATTCAATTCCAAACTCTTTGATCTTTATCTTTCGGAAATGATACATTAGAACCTTCTAGAGAATTCTACAAGTTCCTAATGAATCCTAATTGGTTTAGGATTGTGATTAAGGTATTGGACCCTCTACAAGATCATTGGGTCGTAGGTAAGATGGACCTAGGTCCGGTTTTGGCTTGGTTTAGTATTTTGGCCATAA